CTTTTAGCATGCAGTAGATCGTTGACCGCGTATTTTCGTTCAAGTTAGTGCCTGCAGCATCGGTTTCTTGGTTAACCGAGAGCATTGAGAATCACCCATCATTTTGGATCTCATCGACTTGCTCATCTCGATGTGTTTAAGACTCATTGGTTTTAACCACCATGGTCAGCTAAAAATTTGTAGGACTATGCCTGCAGATCGACTTATACTGGTACACGTTCATCCCGTAGGCTGCACTGCACATATAAGTCGATCGGGGAAGCGCTTTTAACAGTTTGACCACTAGTTGATTGGCTATTTGAATTTTGCCATTTGTATATAGCTGCATGTTTCTACTTTCCTCCAACTAAGCTCTATCCTTCGCTATCATGTGTCCCATTTAGGTTTTCTTTGCAATTGTTTGCTTAAAAAAAGTTGGCCCACTGTATTACGGTGCAGCACTTCTAATCCGCCAAGCATGTGACACGAAAACTTTCCATTCTGAAGTCTCTCTACACTGACTCGTGAAGTAGAGTGAAGGTCTACAGAAGTTGTCTTCTGAGTTCCCCACAATAAATGGGGTTCTTCAGGGTTGTTTTTTAGCTTCTTCTCTGCAGATTTGTGATTTAAATGATTACAAATGGCTTTGTCCTCTCAGTTTCTTCCGAAGTGGAAGTTCCGCCAAGTGTCCGACTGACAAACCGTGAGAATGCTCTCCTTGGGTTCAACACACTGGCCATTCAAGTAATGCTGACTGGAGTGACACGTAGCGCTGCACACTTTGGCATGTACTGCACCTTTAAATGGCAAGGCATTATTGCAGGACTGGACCGATACTCCACCGGTTCTTGCTATTAGCGAATAGCCATTAGAAACGTTTGATCGTCTCGTTTTTTAGCAGCTGTGTTACCCGTGGTGGTCACATCACTGAGGAGGTTCAACAATCCAAGAAGTCGGTGGGATCTCAGCATATCCTCCAAGAGTGGTGTATGCAACGCTACGATAAGACCGGTGCTATTGTATAAATCACATATCTGGGCACTTCGCGTTAAAGTCATGAAATGGTTGGATGTGTTTGATCATAGGTGCTTACGAAGTATTTCTCGCGTCTTGTGGGAACACCAGGTGAGCAATGCTGAGGTCCACCAGTTGGTTTTTTGCAATAAGCTCTTTGCCACCTCACTGCAATGTCTGTTAAACTTGCGTCGGTTTGATCGTGTCCTCCGTACGCCCGTTGACCAGCTTCCTCGGCGTGCGCTATGCGCCGTCGCTGCACGAAGTCGATCGAAATCTCGAGATGACCAGTCCATGGCATAGCATAAGGGCACGAGGTAATTGACCGAAACACTTAGACAAGCTGGTGCGTGCCGTCTTCATGCCTGATGGCTTCGGCATAGGTCACGCCAGTGGTTGTATACTTAATCTTACATGGTGTAGCCACGCAGCCGGTGGCGAGCCGACATTCACTTGTTGCTAGTAGTTGTGAACATTTTATCCCGAGTAGGTTTGTTCACTTCTTTCCTAAATCCCTTTGTGTTCCATGTACTTTTCACCTTATCTTTGTCGCCATTGATGTTTCCTGTTATCTTGGCGACGTGACTCGTAGCAACTGGATCTAACGCACTTCTATGCCCGGATCACAGCCGTTTACTTGAAGTGATCGCTATATCTCGATGCCCGAACCGAAACATACATACTTGGGCTGGTGGAGCAGTTACGGGACAGATTTCATGACATTTAATACCACTGGACGTCATTATACATTATTTGTGCCGCCGCATATCCACATGAACGTTTAACCAAGTGTCACTTGGATGCATCAGGACATTTAACCAATCAGGTTGGGGTCACAAACCGGACAGCCACAGCCACAGCCAAGACGGTGAAGACCGGAGCGCATTATAATGTGCTCTATCGATCTAACTATGAGTGGTCACATAGAACTCATGGGACAGTTGGAGTTTAGCTTTCCTGAAACTTTAAAATGCACTTTCCAGATTTACTTTTATTAGGGTTTCGTGTACATACATTCCTGGCGCTCCTGTAATATATCTTTTCGATGGTCCACCCTCAGCCTCTTCAGTGAGTTCCATTTTTATCAACATTGCCGACCGCCGTAGTGGTAATTATAAGTATTATTGAGGTATCAATGTCTCCTGCCGCTCCTTAAGACACACTTCATTAGTTCAGTATTGTATGATGGGATAAAAAGCATAACTTTACAAGTCCCACAGGATGTACGATGATACCTATCTTTCGTTCATTAGTCACTTGTTGCGAAACCTGCTGTCCCAGAAGACAGGTGTTGTTGAAGCTGCTACGCACCGTCAGCAGGTGACACTTTGCACAGTTCAGTGAGACCTGGTTGTTTTCTGCCCATTCGTTAATCCGCTCCAGATCGTTCTGGAGATAGGCACGGTCGGATGCTGAGCGAATTGCTCTCCATGTTTTAGTATCATCTGCAAATATCTGCACCCGGGCTAAAATGTTTTCTGAGGTCATTTATGTAAACTAGAAACAGTAGCGGGCCGAGTACGGATTCTTGCGGTACACTACTGGATACGCACAGGCTTTCAGAGTGAGTGCTGGCTATTCTTACCTTGATGGTTCTGTCTTGTAGGTTATCTTCCAACCAAGTGAGCAGGGAACTGTTGATATCGTAGGCAACAAGCTATTGAAGGAGAACTTAGTGATTGACCCTGCCGAATGCTTTTGAAAAATCTAAATAAACCACCTATGGGGATTCTTTCATAAGCGATCATCTGCGATCGAGAACCCGTCGTTGATAGCGCGTTTCCCAATAACGCATCCTACGCACCATGTCGAAACTGTTCGCTTTCAGAAACTTGTGCGACAGTGCATTAGTGGCCGGAGCAAATGTGTCAACTGGAATGTAAACACTTTATCACGCACCGTTTATTGATTGCGTCTTGGTTCTACTCTGTACATTGTTCCTAAAGGCAGGTAATGGGTTGTGGAGGTGCGAAGACGGCTAAACTGTACCTCGTGCTCTCTTCCTGAAACTAGCATCGACAGTACAACCTACGTTGGCGCTGAACACATTTGCGCAGGTCAAAGTCCTTATTCTTCCAGTTACACCTTTTACCATAATAACGACAGCATTTTTACTGTCTGTGTTCGCTATGTTAATTGATTGTTTTCTGTGGGCCTATCTACTTACATTGTTCCTTAGTCTGTGTATTTAACGGCTTAGCAATAATCTTATCTACTTAACCGACTCGTACACGTCTGAGCATCTGCTAGTTACCTCACTATGATGATAAAAAGTTGTCCATCGTGCAGCCATGCCTTTTGGCGAACCATTTTAGCAATGTGCTCGTTGATCTGATTTTGTAATTCCGGTTTCCTTTGAAGTATCTATCTACAAATATCACTCGCTTTACCCAGCCATAAGATAAAAAGTCTTCTACGGTTCCGATTAGTTGTGGTGCGTTGAGAGTAGCTGCTCTCTTTTTCTTCACATATATTTGTTGCACTTATGCTGACTATGTTGTCTGTAGCAGTGTTTCTTCGACGCTAAAACAAGACTTGGATTAACTTACGATGTGGTCGGCATCTCGGTCCCTCAATCTTTACTATCTAAAATGCCGTGCTGTAACCTATTTTCGTACTAAAATGCTACAGACCGGTTTAACTAACTGTTCCTCACCGTGCGTGGATGATAAAATCATTCCGATTTCATCCAGCACAGAATCTATCCTCATCAACGCACGTTAGCTAAAAGTTTATAAAGCAAGAAGCGCGTTTTTCTATGCCCTCAGACTCAAAATACTTTCAGCATCCTGTGAGTTAATTTTTAAATTCCTTACCGCATGCAGGTTTACATTTTTCCGCTTTTTTCCCCGGGGTCTTTCAACATCAACGACTTGCTGATAAGACTTATTTATAGATGCGACAAATTGCTTTGGAAGTGTTTGATTGAATTTCTCGTCAGCAAACCTTTTGACACGTATGTCAACTTCTCCTTAAAGGTCCTACAATACATGAGGATTTGGTAGAAGCGAGATATGTTCTTTTATGCGTGCTTTGGACTTACATATCTATTTTCTAGCAGTGCTATACCATAATTCGGTCTTATCCCACTGTGTCAAGCACCGCTCGCGGATCCTAGTGACTAAGTGATTAAAGCCTCCGCCGTCAGTCATTACCTGCCGTGCTCCAATCCCGGTCCCGGCTGTCTCTACCTAATGACTTCAAACAAGGACGAAACGCGTCATTCGATATCAGCATTGGAAGCGATCAACACCGATCCAACTATTTCCGATGCGATCCCAGTGATTGCAATGACCGAAGTCTACTTCAGTGCAGACCGAGATCATGATAGCGATTGTTTATTGCATTCCGAACACACTGTGGATACTAGTTAAGGTAAGAGCCAGTCTAATCCGATTAAAAGCCAGGGTCCTTTGAACCGGAAGCCAGATGACGCCACCGAACTGTGTTCGAACTTGTCGTTATGCAACCAAAAAGCGAACCAACGACATGACTCGACTTGAATACACAACGGACTACAGGTGGGCAGATGCAGAGTTGGCCTGTTTCCGCCAAACCCACGAAGCTAGTGTTGGTTTTGTAAAACACAACACGTATGACATATTCGCTTCATACGTAATCACATATGTTTCATCACTCGATTGCGTTAAACTTTCGGTATTGATCTCTTTTGACGGGAGTATTTTGTCCGATGTTATGTTCACTTCGCCAATAGGACCCACTTCGCCACTATTGCTTGTTCTGGCATGCAACGACGCGTGGTTAGGAGTCTGTGGAAAACCCATCTAACTCGGACCACTATAAGATCACAATAGCATTCAACACTAAACGCTGACAACTGTACATAGGTTTCCATTTATACGCTATTGTACTTTTGATGGGGCTATGTATCCACTCGTGTGGTAGAGTAGAAGTCTACAAATGCACCCACCCAGGTAAGCAAAGCCTACTTTTCTTGGCATTAACTGGAGTATCCAAACTATTCTTCTCCTTTTTTGCTTTTCGAGATGGGGACCATTCAACGACAAAACAACCAGAGGATTTCGTCAAGACGCCAGTTCACACAGACCCACACAAGCGCGCCCGCAAGTTTCTGTATCACTTGGCCCCCCTATTGAAAATGACTCTGCCGTCCCGTATAGAACGTAAACGAACCCAGATTGTGTTCGACGCTCATTCGCGACCAGACCGTATTACTGGAAGCGGCGTCCGTTCCAGCTTTTGTGAGAGGCAGTGGACAAAGCACGGCCTTTATCTAGTAAGTGTGATACTCTGCAGATCTTCTTTCCGTTTAAATAAATCATAAATACACAAATAACTAGATGGGCTTATTTCCCGACACTCTAGATACGTTACCTTTCGTAGAACGATCATTTGTACAGCGAGTTTCCATCCGCATTTCGATGATGTACTTGTGTTCAATGTGGATTCGTAATGCAATGGTTTGTGGAAGATATACTAAATACCCGGTTATTGGAAAACGAGTTTTACCGTATGTTTTTCAGGCCGGATTCCATGAATTCACTGATAGGTTGTTGAAGGTCGAAAGTTTTACCACATTTGGCGTGGCAAGAAAACTTTTCAGCTGAGATCTAAAAGGTAGATGGGATCTCACTGTCCCTAATTACAACCGTAGCTTATTTCACAGATGGGCGTGGTTTACCAGGAAGAAATCCAAACGAAGATTTTGTTTGGCCTTTTGTAAGACTAGTGGGTATTTCCTATTACGGGTTGGTTAAGTTGAGTCATTCGTCGCAGCTAGACTCAGACGGACAGTCACCACACATCCAGAAAAGCGCTTTCCTCTATGTGTAGTGACAGTCTGTCAGAGTCTAGCTGGGACGAATCTTCAGAAAAAAACAATAAAGCGACGGTCGTACTGGCTGAGAAAATTCGCAAATGTATTTACTACAGAGAAGAGTCGGGTCCCTTTTCAGTTGTCGAAGTCAGAATGGGTCAAGCGGGAGGTGAGGACATCGTTTCTCCTGGTTAAACGTTGATGAGCGTCCCATGACCATTTTAGTAAATGAGCATTGGGGTGCGCTGTAGTTTATTTATCTGTTTTATTAAACTCGGAACATTCATACAACCAATCTGACATAGTAATCACCGGAGCGCTTTCCGCTGTGATTAATCCGCAAATTTAGTGAGTCTGACTCGTCTGTGGAGACCCATCTGGAAGCTGACCGAAGCAGGCAACCAATTGTGTTTGTCACCGAATCACTGATTTGTACGACCGGGACTGACGGCGTAGTTGTCGTTTCGTCTTATCACTGCTAAATGAATGGTTTTGATTTAAGCAATCACCGTAGTCCTGCACTTTATGCGAATCCATAGACAAATGACAAAGTATATTTCCGGAGCAAACCGGAACTGATCAGAATGGGGGCCAACAACAAGTACTCATACAACCGTGTAAGTACCGAGCGTGACATATTCGACAACACTTCTGTAATAGCTAGGCAGGTATAACAATACGGTGATGCGATGTAGCTAATAAAAGTGGTGTCAGCTGCACAAAATATTCATGAATACTGATAGCTAAACCAACTAGCAGGGTCAGACATTTTGTATTTTTACCATCCCAGTATGGTGGAGGTTGTGTACTTCTAGATGCTTTCTAGACAGGAAAATGTACTAATTAATACCATTGTTAGTGGCGTAGGAGAAAGGCATCGGTTTCCTGACTGATTTCTATACAAAGACTGATCATCTATGACTCGGTGATTCATCCATTTTTCCGTTTCTGTACTCACTTTCTTGACCTATTCACATACTTTCCCATGCATATCACGTCTGGGACAGTCGGAAAGCCATATTATATCCCAAACTGTGCGTAATCCGGACCTCAGCATTGCGTAGGAGCGCAAAATATCAACAGCACCCTGTGTGTATGTGAAAGTATGCCATCGCAATGAGGCTGGACCTTACCGTGGTGCGATGGTTTGCGTGCCTCAGAGATCCATTGAGCTATGCTGGGTGGTGCTTTTTTTGCACCTTTAGAGCCACTCATACCAGATTGGTCAATGGTTAGAGGCCAGACAAACTCAGCCTCCTGGTCCTCCAGGTTGGGGGTTGGAATGGGGGTGGCTCCTCATCTCATAAAACGGGCTCTGTAGTCCAATGCCAAAACCCGCTGCCTTGCGGTAAGGTTTTTGAACCAAAGGCTTTGGTTGAGAACCCTAATCGTTCTCCTGTCTAGGCCTGGGCAACCTGACAGTATTCTGCCCACGCAATACAATGAACCTTTCCTACAACAATTTCTTGATGCTCTGGCCGTCGCAGAGGATAATAAACGGCGCCCTATCTGCTGCATCGAGCAGGGTGGATAGGGGTTTGGATGCTACTGCTCAGGCCTTCCGTCTTCTTATACCCCTTCTTGTGCTTCTGCATCCTTATTGTCCCGCTCCAACTTTACTTATATCCCCCCATTTTCAGTCCCTCAATTCTTGGCCCTCCCCCAGCTTACTTCAATAGTCGCTTGTCTTCTAATTTCAAATCACACACAATCGCAGGGCCTCGCTCCAATCCAGTCGACAAGTCCATGTTCAACCAAGCGGACAACGTCAGTTCATCCGTTTCCCTTTGGAGTCCTCGTGTCTCGCTAAGATTGGCATGCCTCAACGTGCGCACTTTGCTGCAGATTGGCCAACAGGCAGCACTTGCCCCGCACATTAGAGACCCTATCGATCGATATTTGCTGTTTATCAGAAACCCGCCTGCAAGGTTCGAGCTCCGTGCTTACCCTGAGATCCCCCACATGCGACACTGGCGGCACATTCTCATTGCGCCTATCTGGCGATGATGCAGCTTCAAATGCCGGTCAAGCTGGCGTCGGCATTGTTTTGAGTCCCCGGGCTGAAGCTGCCTTGCTTGATTGGATCCCAGTAAACAGTAGAATGTGCGCCGTTAGATTAGCTGGTTCGTTCCGTGCTTCGAAGTCGCGCGGGGACAAACGGTGCCTGTTTGTCATTGCGGCCTACGCCCCTACAAACTGTAGCACTGATTCGGTAAAAGATGATTTCTATCAGCAACTTCACGAGCTCCTTCGTTACAGAAGGAGTACGGATACTGTGGTGCTGGCTGGTGATCTGAACGCCCAAGTTGGCAACTTGCCCCACTGATGAGCTTCATCTGGGCGGCCAACATGGTGTAGGCTCCCGTAATGATAATGGTGAGCGATTGCTCCAGCTGTGTGAAGATGCTCGCCTGTTTCTCGCGAGCACTAACTTTCGACACAGCACCCGCAGAAGTGTGACTTGGCGGCCACCAGCCTCGGGCCAGTCATGGACGCAAATCGATCATATCGCGATCAGTTACCGCTGGAGAGGCTGTGTCCAAAACTGTCGCTCGATTTGGAGCACGAGCGTGGACTCTGACCACGCACTTGTATGTGCCGACCTCCTGATGCGTTTCGGTGGACGTCCGCAACGTCGATGTGAACGGATTGACACTAGCCAGCTTGCGAAGTCAGATGTTCTGAATGTGTACCAAGATGCGCTGACATCTGGGCTGAGTAAGCGCCCACTAAACACCGTTGAAGATCACTGGTCGCATACTCGTCAAGCGTTGCTGTTAGCAGGCATGTCTTCATGTGGCAAAACAAATTGCAAAACCGGACATTGGGTCTCTACACAGTCTCTCGAACTTATGGATGCTCGCCGACGTATTCCGGCTGGAAGCGTATACAATGAAGCACGCAAAAATCTCAGGGCGAAACTACGTGCTAGCCTAAAGAAGGACCGCGAAACCTGGTGGTCTCATCGTGCCTTTGAGATGGAAACTGCCGCTGCCATTGGTAATCATCGTGAATTATACCGTCTGATACGGGCAACAGGCAGCAGAAGACCTGGTGTTAGCGAGACCATACGCGACGAGAGTGGGCAGATGATCCACAGCCTGTCAAAACGCTTGGAGCGTTGGGCTAAACACTTTGCTATGCAATTTAACCAACCTGAGTTATCGTTTTCTTCTTCGGGCATTGAGCGCCCTTCTCCTTGGGCCGTCTCCTTGGATCCGCCCTCACGCGCAGAAGTCGAATGTGAGATCAAGCTGTTGAAATTGCATAAGGCCGCAGGAGCAGATACGATTCCTCCAGCCCTCTTCAAATTCGGTGGACCTGCTCTAGTAGATGATCTACACGAGTTGCTAGTAAAACTTTGGGAGCAGGAGACAGTCCCGACAGACTGGAACCGCTCCGTCATTGTCCCAATTTTCAAGGGAGGCTCCCGTTTAGAATGTGGCAATCATAGAGGGATCAGTCTGATTTCCATTGCCTCTAAATTGCTTGCCTCTCTCATTCTCCACAGACTGAGTGGCACTCGTGAAAACCAGATTCGTGAAGAGCAAGCCGGATTTCGTCGAGGTCGGGGCTGCATCGACCACATCTTCACATTGCGTCAAGTGTTGGAGCACCGCCATGTTTATTGGCGACCCACCGTTGTCGTGTTTCTTGACATAAAAGGTGCCTTCGACTCAGTCGATCGATGTGCCCTTTGGGACTGTCTGTTGAGGAAAGGTGTGCCTGATAAATATGTAAATATTATCAAAGCGCTGTACGCACATAGTTCGGGCAGGGTGAGGGTTTATGGCAAACTCTCGCCACCCTTCAGTATCACCAGCGGTGTGAGACAAGGATGCCCGCTGTCACCTTTCCTCTTCAACTTCGCTATTGATGAAGTCATGGAAACAGCGTTCGCTGGACACGACCTAGAAGGTGTGGAGCTACTCCCTGGTGAGCGACTTCTTGACTTGGAGTATGCAGACGATATTGACCTAATCTGTGACAGCTCCCAAACATGCCAAACAGCACTGAACCGATTAGCACTGGCTGTCAATCGTTTTGGGCTATGCTTTGCTCCATCGAAATGCAAAGTACTTCTCCAAGATTGGCAGGGACCCAACCCTGCGCTAACGCTTGGTGGTGATCTGCTAGAGGTCGTTCAGGAATTCAAGTACCTGGGCAGCTATATTAGCACCCGTGGGATTGATGATGAGGTTACGAACCGTATAGCAAAGGCTCGAGGTGCTTTTGCCAATCTCCGCCACCTGTGGCGCAGACGCGACATTACTCTCGCCCTGAAGGGCAGAGTTTACAATGCAGCCGTCCGTTCAACTCTCCTATATGGCTGTAAAACCTGGCCCATCAGGTCGACAGACATGAAGAGACTTGTCACATTCGATCATCGCTGCCTTCGCAGCTTAGCTCATGTCTCGTGGGAGCACCGCGTGAGCAATGAGCGTGTTCGGCGTTGCGTA